CTAATATCTCTTAATGTTCATTGATTTCTTTAATCCTCCTTCTTTCCCACCCTCTTCCTCCAGCTGTTTCTTACATTATCTCAATGAAATATCCTTTTCACCTCTTAACTTATCTTCCACCAATCCCAATTGATATCAATTCCTGCTACTATACCTTTGCCATCCTCCATGACTATTTCATCTTTTAATGTAAATTTTTCCATACATTCTCTATTTATTACTCATGCTTTACTTTTCATTCCTTTCCCCCCTTCCCTTTTTTGTCTCTTCTCCTCTTGCCTTTCCCTATATTTAATTGTCTTATCTTTTTCCCTTCCTCTACATTCCTCGTCTATTGTTTCTATTAGTAAATTGTACTATTTATTCTCCAACCTCTTGTCTTATCTACAGTTTTCTTTGTTTGCTATTCTTTTTTATTTTGTATTGACTTATCTTACCTTTCCTCTCATTTATGTCTTTGAACCATAGCCCACAGGGCCCTATCTTTTTCCCTTTCTCTACATTCCTCGTCTATTGTTTTTATCACCAAATTATATTATTTATTCCCCAACTTCTTGTCTTATCTATGGTTTTCCTTGTTTGCTATTCTTTTTTATTGTGTATTGACCGATCTCACCTTTTTCTCTAATTCTATGTCTTTGAACCACAGCCCACAGGGCCCATGAGCGCAGGGCCACAGGGCTCAGATCCCATGGCCCCAGAACCCAAGGATCCATGGCCCAGGGGGGCCCACTGAGCCCAGGAAATTCACCTTTGGCCCGAACTGGGCCCCCGGAACCAATACTCAACCCAAAACAATCAATGAGGCGCTACAACACTCAACCACACCTCGACACAGCCCAATCACCCACCCAACCACAAAAGAAACCAACTGGACGATCACCACCCCCCGTAGACCCGTCTCACCAATCAAAGGACCAATAACAACCAAAGAATAAGACCCCCTCAGTAGCCGCTCTTCGAAGGTCGGTCCCTCCTTCTCTCCTATAATCTCACTTTCTATACTGAGCCCTCATGCTCTATCTAACTGGATGTACACTTGGTTCGCGGTCTACAGGGGAAAAACGACGTAAGTTTTGATCCAGGTGCTTTCATGTTTCCGACATAATTTGATCATATCTAACAGACAATCTTTTTGTTTTCGCGATCAACACCTCCTTTGACCACATCATTCTGGTAGGCACTCTTTTTGTTTTTGCGAACAACAGGCGCCCAAAGAAGGTGACATTTCATTATCTTTCCCACTATTCCAACTGACGGGGTCGATATGGACCCCTCTTGATTCCAAAGGCTAATAGAAATTATCCTGATTCCGCGATCGACCTGGGGCTTTAGACTCAAGGTGAAGTCATCCTTCCATTTCACTGACCGACTCCATTCACTCTCCTTGACATTTTTTGGGCTTCAATCCTTCAATTTGATGGGGTCAATATCAGCCCCTCCCTGCTTCACAGTCTGACAGACTGTTTTTTCATCTCCGCGATCGATTGATACCTACCCTCTGTCAGATCACATCCCCATAGACTGTACTGACAATTCCGAGATCAACAGGCTATCAAGTAAGGTGAGCTGGTTTTCTCTCCCCGTCTGCAATTTTTGGAGGGGCCCATATTGACCCCTTGTTTGATGACTCCCTAATCGACGGTCTTTTGAATTCCGCGATCACAAGTACCATACATTCAAGGTGGGTTGACCCGGAGCCTTTTTATTTAGTATTTGAAGGGACGATACCTACTCCTCTCCCGTCCTTCAGTACACAGCCTCTAATTGGTTGTACCCCGACTTTTGCAGCCAAAGAACTTACAAACAAAGCTTGATCGACGGCCCAACCAACTAAGGTCATCCCAATTCGTTGGACGTCTTCTCGAGACAGGTGAGACCATTTCTGCTAATGCAATCAATTATTTGATGGAGTCGATACTGACCCCTCTTTGCATCACAGTTTAATAGACTGTCTTTTTCATCCCGCGATTGACCGGTCGCTCTTGAAGGTGAGTTATATTTCTTTTCTCTCGTCCGATTAATTAACCATCAACCTATCTTTGCTACCAGTCTAAACGACTAATGTTTTATTCCCTCTTTCACACGTAATCAACCCCCCATTGATTCACAATCTAATAGACTGTCTCCTCATTCCCGCGATTGACAGGCGGCTCTTCAACGTGAGTCCTTTCACTTGAATCACCATGTTTATTTGCAGGGGTCGTTAACGACCCCTCTTCGATTCACGGTCTAATTGACTGTCTTCTGGTTTGCGGCGTCCGCGACTGGCAGGCGGGTTTTCCAACGTAAGTTCTTTCTGTCTTATTCAAGCCCATCATTAGAAGGGGGTCAATAATGACATCACTTCAAGTCTCAGTTTACTCGACTGTCCTCCCGTTCTCGCGATCAACCGGTTGTTTTTCCAGGTGAGTAATTCCTCTTTTATTCAAGTGGGTTAGTCTTCTGTCAAGATTCCTCTCCATAGGGGGCCGTCTATGCCCCCCTTGGGCCTTTCTTGTTGATAGTGTAAAAGACTGAATTATCTTCTCCGTGATCAAACCCAGTGGCTTATCAAGGTGAGCTTTGCTTCCTTAATCTTCACTTATCAAAGGGGTCGTATTGACCACCCGTTGAACCTTTGTGTGATCGGTTGACTTCTGGATTCCGCGATCGACAGGCAATAAGGTGAGTTATGTCTCTTTCAATGTTATGCCTCATTCCAAGGGGTCAATATCGTCATCCCTTTGAATCACAGTCTAATGGGCTGTTTTTTTGTTTCCGCGATCGACAGTGTCACAATCTACAGACTCTTTTCGTTCCGCAATTCAAGGTTGGTTTTTCTCTTCCATTTCAATGCATTCTCTAAAGGGTTCGATATGGACCCCTTCTGGTTTCACATTCTGATAGACTGTCCATTTGCCTCCACGATCAAAACAGCCACTATTCACAGTCAGTCTATTGTTTTCTCTCACCTCCTACTCTAAGGGGCCGATACCGACCCCTCCTTGGTTCACACTCTGAATCAATAGACTGTTCATTAATTGCGCGACTGAAACCAAGGGCAAATCAAGGTGAGGTTTCCTTTCCTCTTCCCTTCACTATAAACACATCTTGCCTCTGACTCCTTGATTCCTCCCTCAATGGTTGTTGGCTGTACAACATATTCTCATGTTGTCCAATTATCAGAGGTGATTTTGCATTGCTGTGTTTGTGCTGTTCCCTCTGACAAGGCTTAACACAGCAGTTTGGGAGCTCATTTGTTCCTTTCTGTTATATTGTCTAGACACAAATTCCCAAACAATCCTTATTGATTTCACATCTATTGGTCACCTACTCTGGTCAGTTCCTGGGTAAAGTCTGATTTACTCTTGTATCCTGCTGATTTTGTTCCCTGGACTAAGTCTGACTTGCTATTTGTCTGCTTTCAGCAACAGAAACGTAATAACCATCTGAGAAAAATCAAGTGTGTCTGATTTCCCTTCCCACATTCAACAAGGATGGCATCCTTCGTGAGGCTGTATGGCTATGGGCTCATTTTCATCTTGCATTCTATTCTTTCTGTGACAGAATACCAAATCCAATCCTCAATAACATCAAAAAGGTAAACATGGTGTCATTGAATCCCCACTCAAGTGAAAACTGATTATATTAATTGTATATTCTCTTTGGGTTTCAATGTTCATTGGCTGGGACCACCTGTTGGCTTGGTATAAATCAGTTTGTGTTTTTGACTTGATCATATAGTTCTGATTAAAGAGTGTGCCTCTGCTGTGTCTCCTGTCACTTTGATAGCCAAGATTTGTTGGAATCATGCCACTTGATTTTTTCATTTTTTTTTTCATCCTCCCTATTGATAGATACTTTGACAAATATTAATTTTTTTTGATTGGACTTTTCATGATCAGGCTTGGTTCATTCTAAATACATTTGGGGGTTCACACTCTATTGCAATCAAACATCTGGCATATAATTTGTCAGCCTCTCATTTATTTCATCATTCCTGTGTGTCTGCAGCCAAGCTTGAAAAGGGTTGAATCATGACCATGGTGGTTCAAACTTTCACTGTTGTGTCATCAAATTGGTGGACTTCACAATAATATAGGTGTGTTTAGATTATTTTTCTATGGTCCCGTACATTCCCCTTCACTATAAAAGGCAGCCATTACTGGCTGCCCCTGGGGGTACATTTTCATGACGTTGTACTCTGTATTGTTTTATAGAATACCAAGATCCGAGTGTGGGCAATTCAACTTCACTTGAGGGATCCCTCCGGATTATAGAAGGGGTTGGTACTGATACTGATAATTTTTTTCAAACTGGTGAACTCTTCCTCTTGACAGGAATAGGGTGTGTTCTGATGTTCTGCTTTTAGTCCCTGACAATCCCTTAGTCCCTGACAATCCCTCTTTACTATAAAAGGGGCCTATACTGACCACCCTTTTGGTTCACTTTTAAATTGGTTTGACTTATGATTCCCAACATTGGCTGGGACACAGGTGGGTTTTCAACAAGCTGCTTTTCCAAGATTCACCAATCCTTCACACAGGCCACTGTTCCAATCTTTTTTGCATCTTATGTCAATTCATAATGAAAGGGACTAATATGCTGTGTTCTTCTCTTTTTTATGATCTTTACAATCATCCATTCAATCAGTTTGCTGCTTGAACTACTCACAGACACCAAGACAGGTCAGAACTTATCCATTCACCCATAGGTCATATGACTTGAGATCTGTTTTGATGACGTGTGTACTGATTTATAGTCTGATTTCCTTCTTTTGAACAGAATACCAAAATCAAAAACCAAAAACATATCTATCTTTAAAAGCAAAAAAAAATTCCCGCTAACATCATGTAAGTAAATTTTGAATGCTTGACTTTGGACTGTGGTGAAATCTGATAAGTTTATTTTATTATTTGCCAACTTGTAGGACTACATCAAAACCAGCCGACAATGGCTATGAGAGCCCTACATCTCCTCTGACGTCCCTGGAGCCTCTCTCACGTGACGATAATCCGATGATTGGTGGCCCAACGCAAGAAGTCATGTCATCCTCGCCTCCGTCTGAGCCCCGCGAAGAGCTACCCATGATTGGAGGGCCAACTCAAGACCTGACGTCACCAGTGGCATCGGCACCAGCTACAGTGCGGAAGCCTGTGGTTGTGGTGAAGAAGACTCCTATAGGAAAGACTAGTACGGGGAAGGACCTCTTTGATACTATTGAGTTGATGGTAAGTTGGAATGCTCTTGTTGACTATCCATGATGTGTTTCCCTGACCGGCAAGGTTTGTATTCAGAAGGGCCTGAAGCGTGTTGAGGTCAAACAGTCAGAGGGGAGTTGGACTGGAGCAGGAGGCTTGGTGAGTTGCATATTCTTTATCTTGTCTGTGAATTAAAGAAAAAGGCTGACACAAGATATTTTCTTACAACCGGGTTCAAGGAGAAGTCTGGTGATCTGGGGGACTCTGTGTTGGTAACTAGTGATAAGTGGACCAAGATCCAGGCAAAAAGGATTACTGCGCCCAAGGAGCAAAGCACAATAACTCAAACAAAGGTAATCTCTGTTTGATTTCTTTTGTGGTTTGAGTTTGGAGTTTTTTAATCTTTGCTGCGGCATTTTACAGGCTCTGACATTTGGCGAGAAGAAGCTGGCAGCAATGAAGTAAGTGGCCTATGTCATCAACATACTTTGAGGACGTTTGTCTGACTGGCATGTATTTGTTTCCCAGGAAAAACCTTACGGCTGTCCAATACCGGACTACCCCGCAGCAAGGCATTGCGTTGGATCCTCAACTCTCTGGCGATGAAGATGGGAATAAGGGGAAGAAGGGCAAGGGGAAGAAGAAAAAGGTGTGTTTGTCTCCTTTTTGTCAGCTAACATACCTTGTAACTTATAACTTTTGGTTCTGTTTGTCCACCAGGCATCTCCGGCAAAGAAGAAAAAGGCCACAGCGTGAGTACCAGTGTCTCCTGTTGTATCTAACTGTCTGGAGATATCTGACTGGAATTTTTCTTGATCTCAGCATAAGCCTGCCCACAGATGTAGATGCTCTGGAGCCAGTTGGAAGCTCTGCAGTACCTGTGGAAGAAAAGGTGTGTTTGTTTTCTCTTTTCTTGGTTACAGATTGTACAATTGGTAAACTGAAATGTTTGATTACTGCTGTTCAACAGGCTCCTGCTGCAAAGAAGAAGAAGGCTCCATGGTAAGCTATGTGCTGTTCTCTTTGATTTGATTTGGGTTGATATATCTGACCAGTGTTTTTCCTGATGGACAAGTTTGCCACCGGTACAAGATGCTCAGGGTCCAGTTGCTGGTGCTGCAGTCACTGGGAAGAAAAAAGTGTGTTTGTTTACTCTTTGATTTTTTACGTTTGGCAGATCTGTCAATTGAGATTAGTTGGATTTGGTTTTTCAACAGGCTTCTCTGGCAAAGACAAAGAAGACCACAGGGTAAGCATTGATGTCTTTCTGCTCATTTCATCTGGAGTGAGATATCTGAACTATGATTTCCCTCATCTTAGGAATTGCCCAGCACCAGTTGAGAAGGCTGCGGGGTCTGTTGGTCAACCCGGAGGACCAGGAGGAAAAGATATTCCCAAGTGAGTGCTCATTCATGGCTGCCCTCCCATTGACATGTTGGGGGCTGACTCTTCTGTAAATTGTGGTAGGAAATCACTGGCCCCTCAACCAGACTTGCCCGGTTCAGCTGATCTTGCCTCAAAGGACACTGCTCAAGTTGGCAAACATGCAGAGGAGCCTTGCCTGGCAACTGTGAACGAGCGATTGGACGTTGATGGTGGTCGGGATACATTGGAACGAACTAGGACTGGTGTGGCGGTTGGCGAGTCAGGAGCGCCTGCAAAGACGACGATCAGCAAAGGGCCACCAGATGACGTTGGACAATCAACACATTTGGCGAGTCAGTTGGCTGTCCCAGCGGTTCCACTCTCTCAACCAGCTTTGGAGAAATTCACCGGGGTCGGCCTGGACAACTCAACACAAGATGGCCTTGACACGGTTGGTTGGTCTGCCGGGGTGTCAGTTGGATTGGCTGGCATGGTTGGGAATAATGCTGCCATGGTGGACCGGCCAGATCAGCCTGAACCGTCGATGGACTTGGAAGACTTTACAGCGACACAGGATGGACTGATGAGGATGCTTTCAGGATTAGAAGTGGGTTGTTTTTAACATTCATGGATTTGGCTCATTTGCTTACATTCTAACGTGACATCTGGTCATACTGCTAGACTCTTACTCCTCTGCCTGCCAACCAGTTGCATGCGCGTGCGGCTCATGCAGCCTCTGGGGATGACGTTCAAGATCAGTTTCCTGACCAAGATGGGGGCGACCCGTTGGACCCTAGTTGGAGTAAAAGGGTGGAGCAGGCCCTGGCGCGCAAGAGGGCCCAGGAATATTGCGCCCTGGCCAAGGCGGAGCAGGAAGAACAAGAGGTGCAAAACCAAAAGGCATGGGTACGTCAGGCAACCTGAAGTTAACCTGCCTGGGGTTCTGACTTTTTGATGTTTCTTATAGCGTATGATGGTTGATAGGTACTTGGGTATCCGGCCAGTAGGCGAGGAGAGTGGGCCTGGTGTGGAGTTCCTTGTGGGTTCGGTACCTCCCCTCGACAATGATCAGATTCTGGTGCTCCAGGAGGTTCGGTCCTGGGACAAGATCAACGGATTGGAATTGGGCTTCATGCGGTGGGAATGGGAAGGTGGAATGGATGACGACCTTATGAGGCCAGTCCCAACGTGGCTCATCAAAGACGGAGTTGAGGTCAAGTGTTTCATTGACGATGCGGCTCATGAACGGCTGGCTCGATTTATGGGAAACCAGCCCTGGGACTTCTACCAGCTCCCAATCTGCTATGGATCGGCTTTTGCCTCTCGGGACGAGTGGGAGAAAGCGGTCAAGAACGACACTCTGCTGCAGCCGGATTCCCCGATTCCGGACGAGGACATTGAGACCACGGCTACGGCATCACCGGATACTGCGGTTGCGAACGGTTCCCTAACGCTGAATGAACTGTACCAGAAGATTTTCAATCCAACTAAGGGCCGTGATGTTCACAGGTTTCGCTACGAGTCAACAGGCCCAGGAACGCCCTGCAGAAGGGATGATGGTTTGACTAGTTTGGAAGATCTCAAGTTGCTGCTTGGTATTTGTAAGTGGTAGTTTGCTTCTGCCTGATGGCTCCTTGGTTGGCAGCTGAAATGGAATACATTTGTAGGGAGCCGGACAAAATTTGGGCTGAAGATTGATCTGAAGATGCTGAAGGACAAGGGGCTTCATACTGCCTCACCGAAGCTGTTTGCGGAAAACTTGAAGAGACTGGACGATATCTCAACTTATATTGATGATCTCAAGGCCCAAATTCGTGATTGTGAAGCAAACAAGACCACCGCTGTCAAGAAGGTAGTTGATCTCAAGAGGGCTGAGGTGCTTCAGCCAACCAAGCGTAAGCCTTTCTGATGCTTGCAGCATTCAAGATCATTGATTGATTATTGAAGGGTTTGTTCTACAGGGAAACATGTTGACGTTGAGGTTCAAGATGTTACGGCCCCGCCCAAAAAGAAGACTAAAGCTGCTCCTGCAGTTGCGGTTCAAACGGCAGATCCCCCATTGAAGAAGAAGACGAAAGCTCCCTCTGAAGTGGCCACCCCCAAGGTGGCAGCTGCTGCAAAGAAGAAGACAACAAAGGCTCCCGGTGGTTCGGAACCGAAGAAACTGGCGAGCAAGAAGACAAATGGACGAGCGGGTGGGTTGGAGTCGGTTACCTCCAACGGGGCTAGCAGTCAGCACGTTCCAGACGAAGTGACAATTCCTACAGAGTCAAATGACATGTTGATTGACAAGGGCCCTTTGCACGATGGATACATTGCCCCGAGTGGTGCTATGAGGTCCGGCCCGTCACTGTCAACAATCGTCTCTAGGTCATCCGGCAAGCCAACGAGCGGCCCCCCGAAACCCACGCGCCGAAATCAGAAAAAGCTCAAGGATATGAATGACGAGGAGAAGGCGTTGCACAAGGCAGAGTTGGCTGACAAGAAGAAAAACACACCAACAACTGAATTCATGTCTGTGCCATGTGTTGGAAGTGAGTGCTTTTTGCCTGTTCCCTATCTGGCTATGTTTGTTGATTTGCTTTTGCATTTTCAACAGGTCTGATGCAGGTCTCCTGGCCTAGGGAGAGGGTGATGGCCCAACTTGACGCACATAGAAACATGGAAATGAGTGCACGCAACACCAAGTGGGACTATGGACCGGAATTGGGGAAGCTGGTGCATCAAATGATCAAATGGTCTCAGAAGGATATGCACGATCCACGACATTACACGCGTCCCGATTTGTTCAAGGTACCCAAGGAGGTCATTGCGAAGTTGGATCCAATCCACCTGAAGGTTTTCCGCAACAACTTGATCTTTTGTGAGTTTGGGTGGTTCTTCTCCTTGTCCTTGAATTCCAACTGATGTGTTTCCCGCAGGTCCTGGACTGGTACAGATTGATGCTGAGGATCCGTTCTGGAAGAAGGAAGTTGTCAAGCTGGACATGATTGCCGATGCAGCCACCGCGTACGAGTCCGACAAGGCGGCCTCTTGGAAAGCCCTGTTCATGATGATGGTCCGGGTTGATGACGAGCCAACCTACGTTGAAGACAAGGACCTTGCCAACATCACCAAGGGGGCAATGAGGAAAATCCACAACTTGGCCGAAAAATGTCTCAACCACTTCCACCACTACGTCAAACCAGACGCCCCTCCTGCCCAAGACTCACCCGCTTTTGTTCAAGACTCGCTACTCAGTGCCGGAAAGTTTCTGATTGGGAAGATCAAAGCGTTGGACACCGGAGCGAGGACGAACGGTGCGACACTCAATACTGGCGATTGTCTGATGCTCTTGCAGATGAAGATTTGGGAGACTCTGCTTGCCTGCTTGATGATGCAGCAATCCAAGTTTTCAGAGACCCTGAAAGACTATATCGCTAAGGGGTTGTATAAGGAGTGGGCACTCACACAAGCGTCAAAGATGAATGAATACGACCGAGGACGAAGTCTTTACCAGGATGGTGCCTCTGTGGGGGAGAAAACTGCTGCGGCCACCAAGGAGTGGGGCAAGGAACGACTATCGGCGTTTGGTTCAATGGCTATCTTTTTCCTCCATGGTGCGGCAGGCTGGTGGATCTCTTTGGTCGATTCCCACCACTACAACCAGAAGGACGTTTGGACGCTAACACACATGGCACATGCTCGGCACGAACACCTCTACAGTCGGGGCCATCTCTCTCAAAGAAGAAAGGAACACACCCCCTGGTATAATGTCGACTCATTTGTTCGGTGGTTGCTAGTTGAAGGTGGGATGCTTGCGGAATGCCCCTCAAAGGTTGATTGGAATCTCGCGCCTGTTGTCTGGGCTAAGTACGTCACCGAGGCCAACATTGCCCGACTGGCCCTCTCAGACATCTTGGACGAGGTGTTGCTTGATATTCCGCGGAAGGTAATGAACTTCAAGGCTGAAGTGGCACCCCAAGTGAAATTCAAAACCGAAGAAGAGCAGGCACTTGTCGACAGCTTCAAGTCCCAATTCAAGGCTCCTTACGCAACCCTTGGAAGCAACTACAGGAATGCTGTCCGTCTATTGCCGGCCCCTGTTGATGATGGGCACACTGAGCCTTCCCCCTCTGCTTCGACCCTTGTCAATCTGGAAACCCAACCACGAGCTCTGTCCCGGATTAACTCAGTCGATCGTCTTGAAGAGTTGCCACCTTCACGCCTGCTATCAAGGGTGAATTCACCTTTCTCCGCCGGACTAGTCACCCCTACTCCGGCCCCCAAGTCCAAGCTTCCCACGGTGCCTCAGTCAGAAGCTGACCTTTCGAACAATCCCAAGGTTCCGTCCAAGGCCAAGGATCTGGCACTCCCTGCGCCCTCAGCTGAAGGAGATGAAGATGAGGAAGAAGGGTCCGAAGAGGAAGAAGATGGCTCTGAAGAGGAAGAAGATGGGTCAGAAATGGAAGAAGAATTGATGAGTGAGGAGGATCCAAACAGGTCTGAGACTGATGAGGAAGAGGAGGAAAGAGCTTTGAGATCCAAGGAAAACCCCTATGTTGATGTGTCAGCAAGGGTGCCTCGGAAGAAGAAGTGATGCCTGTGATTGACCACTTGCCTTTTTGTCATTGCTTGTCTTGTTTTTTTTTTCTTGCCTTGCATTTTTGTTTGTTCTTAACTGTTTCATGGGTGGACTTGTCATAGCTTGGCAATCTGTATATACTTCTTTTTTTCCCTCCTTTTGAATGATACCTATCTTAGTTTTGTGTGATCTTGGTGACTTTGGATGAATACAGGGTCATGAGCATCATTGGTTGCTGCTTATTTTCTGTCTGGTTGCATTCTTTCTGATACATGTGATTGGACCTTTAGTCATGAGCCAGAGCATATTCAATAACCAACCTATGAGAGTTTGGGTGTTTCAGATGATATCAAGACAAGCAGGAGATGAGTTTGGATATTGATCATATTCATTGTAGAAGATGAGTAAGAAGAGTTGTTGCTCTTATCATACCTCCTCTAGTAAACTATATTTACCATTTCCACTGATACTCTTTTGAGCCAGAATTCCATACATACCAGATGGTACCTCCTCCCCCCCCCCCTGCTCACCCAATAACAGACTGGACTGGGGGCATTATAAGGGGCCTGAATCTAGCCTCTTCTGCCAGTCCTTTGGAGACCCTGGAAACCTGTCACATGTTTCCAGAATTTGGAAACTAAAGCAAATTTATTTCTTATAAGCTCAAAGTAATCTTTTTTTGTTAACAAATACAAGCTATTTGACCAAGGAAATAAAACATGATAAGACAATTATTCCTTTGCCTGAAGGCAGAATAATTCTAGGCAAATGATAACTTTGAGGTAAAAAAAAATATATTATAATAATAACAACTGGTTATTTAAGTAAGAAGAAAGAATAAGAAAAATATAAAAACCATAGTTCAGTGATTAGTTAACATCAATGCTAATTTGTTTCCTTGCTTATGAGCAATAATAAAGTGGTCAAGCACGAACATTACTTGATTGACTAATATACCTTATGTGGTGAATTGCTTTGCATTATTAACTGAGGAATAGAATACAGGTGGAAAGATACAGCCCGCCAATTTGATTGTTTCAGTGTTTGTGACTTGAGAGCTAGAATGTGGAGATGATGTTCTGAGGAAAGGACATTGCAGTTGTTAAGGATTAAAATCATCTTGTCCTCTGACCATGAACATCAAAACTCACCTAGAGTTTGATTACACGTTCACCTCATCATCTAGATTCATGATGTCATTCACTTCATGATTCAATTCACTACCCTTGCACCATGTGGGCAGCTGTTATCTGTACATGATCATCACAATTTAGTATTCTAGATGGTTTGATAAATTATGTCATCAACCGACCCACAATTCTGCTTATACAAGGGCTAAGGCACGAGGCGTGATTCCAACAACATGAGGCTCTAATGTTGTGATTAAGCCGGACAAGCATGAGGTTAGCCAGCAATTAATTTATGTGGATCTGGATTCCAGAGTGAGGTAAAGAGACATGTTTGGGATTAGAATTGTACAGCTTGTTGAGTTTTCCTCTTCTCTGTTCTACTCTTCCCCAAAATCACTCATTTTTCCTTTCAAGCTATCATGAAATCAGACTAGATTATACTCATCAAGTAGCTTGTTTTTTGTTGTTTTTAAGCCCCTTTTGAGTCAAATATGAACCCTAAGTGATGCTCTTCCCAACAACTCATGTCTCTACGATGTTTTTCTTCTCTTTCCTGATCTTTCTGTTTGATCCAATAAAGTCTGATTACTTAGAATTAATGACTCTAAATATCTGTGGTTTATAGCATGTTTTCCTTGATTAACTCATCCGCGTTGACTCAAAGATACTGGGAAGTTTTGTACGGTTTGTTTCTTCCAAAGACTCATGTTTCTTCCTCTCAGTCTTTTATTCAATATCTTTTTTATTCATTTTCTCCAAACCACATTTTGACACACTTGTATTTAGCCTATTTAATCCTAGCTAGATACTTGTGAATAAAAATCATCGGCTCTTACACTCTTTTTCTGGAGCCCTTCCCAAAAATAAGATCCTATATTTTTGGCCCTTCACCTCTTGTGCGCTTTGGTTCAAAATTTCAACACAGCTGCCCACCCTACACTAAGGCCTCTATGCAATAAATAAAGGGGATACGGATCAATCTATTATATTTTCAATGGGATCATCTTTAGTCTATTCAAAAACAGGGGGGGTGGTTATTAACATAAAACCCAAGGAGTCAATTTTATTCACTTACCCCAGATAATGTTTAGCTGTTATAAACAATGTGACAGGAGAAGGGAATTTAATAAGAAGAATATAATGTATCTGAGAAGATTGAGATTGAATGAGTTAGCAATGACCTAGGAAGAGTGATCAGGAAAGCTTAATCCAATGCTCTACCTACCCAACCTACCCAGTACATTGTGACAAGGTGGCAAGGGATTTTGAGATTGATCTAACCATATTACAGGAATATAACATGATTTAAATCCATCTCAAGCCTAGTTCACTATTTTTGCAAGACAATTGCCTTTGATAAAAACAAGCCCAACGCAACTGACTTGAAATTCACGTAACCTAATTGTCTCCCTTTTCTCAACATGTTGGAGATCCCAAGAGATGAAAAATAGTTCTTTCAAAGGATGGGGAGAATTTTAATGGATGAGCAAAAGATTAAAAGGGGGAAAGACCTGAGGAGTCTGTCTTCTGGATGAACAAACTCAATCTTTAAATAGTGAAAGAAAAGATGCTACAAATGAGATAACAAAGTATAAAGCTATTCTAATCTGGAGTGATGAGAGCACAGAAAGACACAAGCACTCCCATGATTTGGTGTTGCCTTGTCTAGGATCCAAGATTGGGCAAGCAGGGAAATCTCTCACATGCACATGCAAGTGATATTAATAAGCTTTCAATGTGACTGTCTACAGTGAAGGGGTTGCATGGACTCTAGCCAATAATTTAATTATACGGCATATACACTCCTCAGAAGCTTACATGATTCTTTTGCATGCTGAATCAAAGTCCTGCTTGGCCTGAAGTTACCGTAGATTGAAAATATGGGCCCAGTTGATTACCCTGAATAGGTTGAGGGCATTCTCCCTCAGAAGTAAAATGTCCTTAGTGAGTCAGGCTCTTTAAAGGTAATGAGACTCTATATTTGATGTGGAATGCAGGTCAGATACTTGGAAAAGTCTGCCACATATGGTAATGGATCCGAGCAAACTGACGCTGTCCATTCTTCTTCAAAGATGCTAGATACATTCTGATGTGTCAGTAGATTAAGTTCCAATCTGAATATTTTCAATGACTACTCCACTTTGAAAATCTTCAATTACCCCAAGAACTGGGAAGCTTGAGGTACTGCAGCATCCAATGATTTGATACGCAGCACATTCATTTTAGTGAGAGCAAATCAAGAGGGCAAGACAGACAAGCAAGCACTGTGATCTTTGAATGATATTTTTGGTTGGATATCTAAATTAGGTTGCTTAATAAGTAAAAAAGGATTAAATGGATATGTAAGGAATTCAATTGGATGAATTTGTCCCCTTGGGATGTTGTCTGTTATGACATAGCAGCAATAAAATGACTTTCTCTTCTTGGACATTGGTGTTAAACCCAATAATCATTCATCAGGAGTGAAAGTTGTTTGTTGCACAACTTAAAATCACTTTGACTTCATATAATTATAATATTTCTTGGTTGCGTGTTGGGACAGAAATGAGGGGTAGATGGGGGGGGGGGGATGGCTGGTGGTGTGCAGCTGAGAAAGTCAGACAAGAGCTAGCTAGCCTAAGTACCTCCATTCCCTTGAAGGGGGAAAGAGGTCCCAAGCCCTGTCACGCTTGCTGGAGCACTGACCTCTCAGCCCAGGCAAGGCTCCAAGGGTTTGTGTTCTTGGACATTGGCCACAACCGCTACTCGCTCACGTAGCCACCAAGGAAATGTTTTTGTGTGAGGTTTGGGCCTAGCCAAGTCCGATAATTCACATGGTTTGAACAAGAAACTTAACTGAGATTCTATGATTCAATGGATATTCACCGTTGTGGAACTTTTCAAGCTAACCAACTCAGCGGTGAGAGGGGATAAGAACAACGACACAGGCGAAAATGT